TAAATTAACAAATCAAATAATGTAAGTCAAATTGGACATTAAAATGGAAATAAAATGATGAACCAGCTAATTTATTAGGAACAAGGGTTCTCCTGGGACCTGCAGTACTAGAAATAACTCCTTTGTAGCTTATTGCTGAGACGGCCGGTTTAAGTATGGCTGACCTGTCCGATCTAAAGAAGTTGTCCTTGATGGGCTGAACACAAGTATGACTTCGGTAGCGCCATTCATGGCAGACAACAAGAAGCCAGCTTTTGCCTCAGCGAGGTGAGTTAGTTTAGAATTGCTCCGGAGTAACTTCAGCTCAGCGCTTAGAATAGTCCAAATTTCATCATCTAGTTACAAAACGCACCGGTAGGAGTTCAGCTAACGCGGGCCCAGTTTATCAGCATCGATGCCACCAGGCCAGTGCGGTGGCCAGGAGAGATGGTGTGCTCAATCAATGAATACTTTCTCGCCTTTCTAACTCTACAGTATCGAGCCTCCCCAAATTCTACTCCAAAATGTGCGTGGACTAGTTGAACGGCAAACAAAATCCTTTTGTTTTGCTGGATCAATTCACTGTTTCAGACGAACAATTTACCAAACCACCGAGTTCGGTTTGATTTCTAAGCGAAATGACTTTGTGAATTATTCTTCAAAAGTGTTTTCAATAATTGTCGTTCGATGATTATCTGACACCTTGCGTCGTTTTACGTTTATATAACTCTGTGCGTTACGGCCATGACAATATTTCTATGGTTATGTTGTTTTTGTTTTTGTATTTTTACAATACTTTTCTTTTATGCTTATCATGCAGGCTGCCGTAACTATACTAGCAGGTTTTTCTTAACTTACAACAGAAATTTAGTTTTATCATCTAAGTTTGTAGCGTAAATTTGCCAGTAAGCGAGATGTTTCGAGTGCTAAGCCCAAAATGTTGGTGCTGGCACAGGTAGCCCAGACGCGCCATGTCAATTCCTGTAATAATACATCAAGATTTATAAATCGCAGCCCATATTAAAATCGGTCGCGGAGCGTCGAAGTCGAATAGAAACGTGACAGGGGAGATTTAACCAGTACAAATTAATAGACAATGATATAATGAGAAAAGACGATTCATTTACCCTGGGTACCAGATATTTTTTTCTCGCTTGTGACGAGGAGCTTCGTCGGCTGCAAGCCGACACGTCTTCGGCCGAAGACTTTTTAAGACTTGAACGAAACCGGAAACCGCGCATGAAAAGTCTCTGGCACCCAGGGTACGATTCATTTGGAACTATTCCATTTTTTTTGTTTACTTTCTTCAGTCAAATATAGTGGACCCTCCATCTCCGATCCTTTTTCTAATCTATAAATCCTGATGTAAATACAGCAAGTCTAAGCTGCCTGTGTTGCTGGAGACGTCGGCTGTTGAAGATTTTACGACGACTTTGCATTAGTCATTTTACCACATAAACGAGTAAACACCAGGATTTCTTATTTCACTCCTTCTTTTTTTGCCTTGATAACATCCAGTTTCGTAAATAAAAACGTGCAAGGAAAAATCGCTCTGTTTTTCTCAAACTGAGATCAGGCCTAATTTTAGCCCGCCGGAATTTTGTTTTAATACCTCTGAAGCACAACGAAAATAGAGCCGATATCAGATTTGTTTTTCCCTCTCGACTTCAAACGAAAACATATAAAGGAAACTTGTGGTTGCGATAGGAAGGATGTCCCCTAACAAACTTTCTACAGAGCGCAGTTTAGGCAGCTATATATTGAATAAAATCCCTGATAGTCTTACTTTTAATGTACTCACGTGCAAGTACAGCATACGACTCGGAAGTCGGCAAAACACTTGAGTCTTGGGAAGTTGTTTGATATTGCGTTGAGCAGGTAAAGCTGATTTCCATGATTATTATGAGTCATCATCGCTTAGGATACGCTTTCTATGCCCACGCGCGTAATCTAGGGAAGAGCCTGATCCTCTCAAAATTTGAGACATATTTTTTTGGTATTTGCCTTCTACTAATTTACATGTATTAGTAATATGCTTTTGCCTTCGATTTCGTCTGTTTATGGTATTGAGAAGATTACCAATCAAAGGGCTGTTTCTCTCGCAAATTTAAGTCTTCTTTATAAAACAGATTTATGAAGCGACGTTCCCCTTCCCTCGGTGTGAAAAGATGTTTTATTCCAATGTGGCTAAACTTGAAAACATTTTATCTCGTAAGCAAAATTGGAGACGAAAACCAAACAAAGATTTTTTTTACTTGATTTAATATTTTCATACGTCCAAGAATAAATTTAAGGCCGCATCATTTTTCCTCCTGTAGCTCCCAAGTATAAACTGTAACATTGCTTCCTAATCCTGCTCTCCTTTTCACAGTCAAAAGAAAATAATTAAGACGGGTCCTTTCGTGTTCTGTTACTGCTGTTTTATATCAGCGTTACAGTGTAATAATTGCAACTCTATAACCACGGTGATTTACTTTTACTTCCTCTTCACACTTTACTTCCAAATTCCGTCTTGCAATGCGGTTCTGTAAGGATTGAGCTAAAATTATATTTTGAAACCTTCCTATATTTTCGTCATGCGTGAGCCTCCTTCAGAGCTTCCTCAAATATGAATTGCCGTTTGCTCCCAGATTATCAGTTCCTTTCATGAGCGGTAGAAAAGCAGTGTTGAACAGAGTGACACCGTTGAGAGATCGCTTTAGAGCCCAAGACGAGGAAGACTACGTACGAGAAAGAGAGCTGAGTAGTGCGCGCGCTTGAACCAGCGTCATTTTGGCGGGAAAATGAAACGTGATAGCCGTCGTCATTCTACCACGAGGTTTTAGCGAAAATGCCGTAGCGGCAAAAATAAGTTAGTCAAATGGAAGTTTTATTATTTGGCGATCGGGAGAGTACATTATTGTTACCTCCCCAGAGGGGCTTTTCAGGAAAAAAGATTATATTACATTATTCATAATAACTAATTACGACACTCAACTTTAATAATACTAATTACAATGCTAGCTAGTTACTAATTACAATGTTTTAAACTTAACTAAGAAGTATTTACAAAATTATCTAAAAGCTGGCTCTTAAGGAACGTTTAAATATTTTAACAGATGGGCTTAATTTAAGAAAGGTTACTAAATTGTTCCAAAGCTTAACAGTCCTGTAATAAAAGGTTCTCTTTCCGGAGGCTGTTCTGAAAAGAGGGATGTTTAGCGTTTGGCTACTCCGAGTTGTTCGTTCGCTTGCTTACGGGTAATAAATTGGGACGTAAGATATTCGGGGGGCGTGACTGGTCATGTATTTGAAGGCCATAATACCTTGGCGATAGTACTGTTGGTCCTTAACAGGCAACCAAGACAGACTTTTTAAGAGGGGTGTTACATGATCATAATTTTCGCACCGCTGACGATTCGGCAAGCAAAGTTTTGAACGGCCTGCAATTTTCAATTGATAATGATGATTATGATGATGATGATGATGATGACTCTATCTTAGAAACATTTTTGCTCAGGCACATGTGTCCCAGTTAAGTACAAAAGAGTACCTGGCAAGAAACTAAGGGAGATTTCCAAAAGTTAGAACTGGCCGGCCGGACCATAGCCGGACCAGTCATTTTGACAATGAAAAATATGCTTTTTCTCCAATAGTTTTTGTTGAAACACCATCTTCTTCGTGCATTCTATTAAGAATTTGACTGATCTGGCTGGATAGTTTTGATTAAAAGTGAAATTCTCATTGTGACTGGAATGGTCAGACCGGTTAGTTCTGACAAATGGAAAGCGCCCTAAGAATATGGCCCCAAATAAAGCTTAGTCTGGACGTGGGAAAATGTTATCGTGAAGTAACAGAAATATTCTTGCTTCCATGAGGAAAATTTTCCAATAGTAAAACATGATTGCCAATTAAGCCGCTTTTCTAGTGGAGACAATGTTTTAGCATTATATTATTTCCTTGTTGAGCATTGATTGCCTTTTGCACTATCCGAAATTGATCAGAACCCCGGACAAGTGATACGGACACTTCTGGTGAAAACTCTGCAACGTGGACAGCCTGCAGGGGCCGGCCTGTTTCTCGAAACTGAACTTTTCGAGGCCGAAATCAAATATTCAAATAAAAATCTAAGAATTAAAGTGCGGATCCTGGCCAACAAACCAGTCCATTCAGTTGTTCCTGGTTATCTAGGTAGTTTTTTCACGCTAAGGGCAAAACCATTGAAACCTCGATCTTGAGTGAAAACAACAACAGCTCTCCGGGCCCTGTAATTTTTATGGGGACTTTCGTGAAACGAGACCGATGCCAAATATTAAAATCAAAATCTGAAGGATAAAAGCGAGGGTACTAGATTAAAAATAAATAAAAAAAGTTAATTTTGTTTTGTAAACCGATTGGGGTAACATATAATCTACAAAACTATTGAAATCATTATAGCACTTCGAACTCAGTCTTAAATGGAAACAAGACAGCTGTCGCGGTCCGGTAATTACCGGGAGTTTCGAGAAACGGACCCCAGGTCTGTTCGTTACGCTACGGTTGCCTTCTTAAGGTGAAGCGATACGACAATAAAAGAAGGGCCATTTCCTTTGAAGAGGAAAAGACATCCATTAAGCCAATATTTAAAGAGCATATGTCTTTAATACGTGGGATTTTAAGAAAGAACAAAAAGTTGAAGATGGCCTAAGAAAGAAATAAGAAAGTAGGCCTTTTAAAATCTTGGTTTATTACATACATTTTATCCTTACAGTATAAAATCACCTTCAGTGTTCAATTTAAAACTAGGATCGGTCAGTCGCTGGAAATGACCCCTTTTTCAACAACGGTCACGTCTTATTTTTTGATCATTGGCCATCATTGCCCAAATCCGAAGACAGAGTTGGAGTCGCCATAAGAAGAGTACGAGATGTCAGAGATAACGCGCTACAAACATAAGATAGAAACGAGCCTTATATGCGACATGTTGACCCAGTTAAAACTGACAACCGTTATCAAACTAACTCTATTTTGAAACTGAAGCCTTCCGCTTTCAACCAACTATTTGATCAACAGATATAACATTTTGAACAATAATAATAATAATAATAATAATTTTATTCTTATAAACAATTGGTGTAGTGAATTGTAAATATTTTTAACGGTCGAATAATTTCACTGACCAGAGCCTACTTATGTATCTCCTTAATTTGGACTGAACTGAAAATGTTAATTTCGACTAAATTTTGTGTGGTTGTACTGTGTCTACTGTCGAGTTGTGCGCTGAAACCTCGTAGCTACCTCCTTTGTGTTTTGAATGCTTTTGAGAGGCTCCGGGAGATCTTTTAGATGAAATAATTCTGGAAGACCTTTACAAGCGCTGACTATCTACAAACGGGAAAGGCGGCTGGAATCAGTATTATTGTGTGTAACGATTAAGCCCTTTTTTATATTTTTTTAAAACCTGAAAACTACCTGAATGTTAGCTGTAGATAACGTCTCTTACTGCGCTAATCCAGAATCCCATCAGCTAATATAAGCAATGCAAATTTACCACATGGTTTCCGCCCAACTTACGCGATTATCCCGCCCACTTATGACGTCATTTCAATTACGTTTTCGCTTGGCCACTTGACCGCTCTCGTGAATAAATTTACTCCAGCAGTGTTATTATGTTACTTATCGCGATTCAACAACAACACCGTAGAGTAGTAGTGTTGTAGTCATCAGCCAGATTGGAGAAGTCACGAGGAAAAGTAAGCCCTTCCCCGAATGAGGGGAGGTGGTTAAAAAGAGGGCTCTCTAGGTAAGTGAACATTGGCTCGCGTGACTCTCTCCTAATTCCCAAGACTTTTCATTCCACCACACGTTTTACGAACATCGTAATAGACTCGTTCGTTTGCAGTTAGTGTGCTTGAAGATGTCGAACATTCATCTTTAGTTTTGGCTACAAGCAATTTTGATCGAAACCTTCCGTCTATTACGCACTACTTTTACTAGTTATCAGGCGTTACATTCAACGCTGTATTTTGTTCAAAAACAACTTCACCGGGAGTTCTTTGAAATCTTAGGGTGTAGCAAATTTACACATGACCTTAACCGGCATGAATAAAATAGCTGGGCGCATTACAAAGAGCCCCACAAAGCAGGAATCAGTTTATGTCACCGAAATTGATATTGTAGGTTTTGTGTCTTTTAGACTTTACAAAATGTATAAGGTCAATTGACTGATTAGGGGATTCCGTCCGTTGAGTACGTGAGTCTGAAGACTGTGTAGTAAAATTCCAAAATATTTGCTCTTTTAAACTTTGAGTGACATACAAAGCCGTTTCCATTTCAGTATTAAACTTGCATGTATTGAATTATGAAAGGAATTTAGCCTAGTTAAGTGGTTCAATAGATTGCCTTTAGTTTTGTGCATTCTTAGAGAAAACCTCGCGTAACTTTCCGAACAACAATTTAACGCTTTCTTCCCCACAACGGAAAGCCGAGTTGTGCGTATTATTAGGTCTAAGCAATTAAAATTTTAAATAACGGTTCGACTAATCGTTGCTATATATTACGTCCCGTTGTTGTAATTGTTAACACTGTCATGTTTCCGTCACTCTAGCTCTTTATGTCACAGAAGTCTTTTTATGATTGTGCCTTTTTGCCGCATGTCAATTTTAAATACAATTACCGCTTGAATGGATACGTTTGTCTTCACATCCCAATAAAATAGATAACCTTTGGACTGGGCCAGACGGTCTTGATTGAACACTAATTTATCGACATAGGTCAAAAAATGTTCGAAATGTTTGTTGAGCTCTTCATGCTAACTCATTCATCGATTCCTCGTCGAACTGGGCTGTTCAGTTAGGCTCAGCCACACAACTGGCCTTTCGAGAGATTATATAAATGACTTTCTTTACTTGTATGCTTGACGACATTTTATTCACTGCAAAGAAAACACCAATCTGTTTGTTGACCTATTAGCACAATGTACACAAAGAAAATTGCTGAGTCGCCTTGCTTACCGATACCTAAAGCCAATTTTTGTTTTCTTGCACTTTGTTGCTATGTTGATGTAAAAGAAGTGATAGTGACGGTGACAGTGGCAGCCGGTGATGATGATAATTGTTTGTGGCTGTGTTGAAGACATCTGTAGCAGCTAACTATGACGGTACTATTCATTGTGCTTTTTCCAGCCAGCGTGTTCTGCACGCCCATCGAAGGGAAAGCCAAGCAGCCAATCAAGATGGCGAAACAGTGCCGATACCTATTCCAGGATCCTTTAGTGGTAGGGTACCCCAAATCATTGAGTTGGTCACGGTAAGTTGTAATGGAGTGGTCTTCATAACGGTAAAGAAAGATACCCCTTTTTTGTAAGAAGATATTTTAAAAAAATGTCGAGGCTGGAATTTGCGAAACTTTAAGAATGTTATAAGAATAAACCAGAGACGAAGTTTTTGAAAAGGACATAAGTTTTGTTTTAAAAAACCTGTGAACACAATAGTCACTGCTGGGCTCGTGCTAGGCAAGTAACTTTTAAAGCTTACTCGCCCAATGGGCGAGGGTCCAAGCAGGTCATTCTCCAAACAAATCATTAACTTAGAAAAGCAAGAAGTGGCCCTGGGCTAGCAAAATGTCAGGGCTGCTTGCACAAAGGACAAGCTGAAATTCAAGTATTTTTCGAGTCATGAATACAATTATATTTGTTTACACTCGACTTAATCAGGAAAGAAAATTATTCCCTAAACGCCAAAGCAGATCTAGACGCCGCGCGTCTAGACACCAACACTTGCAATTGACACTACTACATTCTGAAACGGAAATGCCATAAGCTGTAATTTAAGAATAACACAAGAATAAATTCAGCCTAAAATCTGCAGAAAAATAAGAATACCCCGTCTGGGACGGGAAAACAACATTCTAATCAAATGAGAGAGTATTAGGTCTATTAGCTAACCACTCTCTTCTTTCCCAACCAATTAAAGAAAATGAATTTCTATTTGCTGTAAGCGTTTTTTTATTGCTTACTTGACCCACAGAAGATACGTGTATATGCATCCAGATAGTTGATACTGCTGATATTTTTTCTACCCTGCGCCACAGACGAAAGTGAACTAAACTCTGCGACGCAGGCTAATTCTTCTCCTTATGATTTCTCTCTGTGTAGTTGTCAGAATGATCCAATGAGAAGCAGTTATTGTTCAGTGACAAAGTTTTCTTTTTTTTCTGTCCACAGAAAGGCCATCATTTCTTTCAAAAGCGAATGGAATCCCTCGGAAGTTCCGTGTTCAAGTGCAGTTTTTTTGGCGCGCCATTTATCGCCATAACGGATTATGAAGGAATGGAATGCTTCTTCGACCCAAGATTAGTGAGTAGCCAGTATGTCGTGCTCCTCTTCAGTGCAAAAGATTTATATTCCGTACTTTTCTGGCCTCGTGTCATTTCCAGAGCATTCTATAGGGAAAAAATTGTAATTTGTTTACCCACGAAGCAGAAGCACTTGGCAGCACTTGAACATGTCCGTGCGTTCCAGATCGAATTGGACTGACAGTGTTGGTTTTTGAGAAGAGGGAAAAACCGGAGCACTCGGAGAAAAACCTCTCGAAACAGAGGAGAGAAACAACAACAAACCAACCCACAAATGATGCCGACCGCCAAGATTTGAGCCCTGGCCACATTGGTGGGAGGCGAGTGATCTCACCATAGCAATGCAATGTACTACAACCAGTTTTAGTGCACGTCAGTTCCCTTCTGTCTTTTGATTTTAGAGTGCGAATCCCTTGAAAGTTGAAAAATAGGACACAGACTTAGTAACTGAAGAAGCTACAATCAAACCTCCTGTGATACGGAGGCCTTAGTCAAGAATATTAGGATTGGACAAATCGAAAATGGCCAACAGTAAAGTGACTAACTTTTTTTCCAAATACCTGATTCCCACGTGTCCTTATTCTTTACAGGTGGAGAAAGAGACGGGATTTGGAAATTTTCGATTCAATCAAAGCCTGTTAGGAGATCATGTGCCCTCCATGTTTGAAAATGGTGACCGACATAAACAGTTGAAGTCGTTCTTGATCGCTGTATCCCAGAACATGCTCAGGATGGGTAGACTGATCCCCAATATTATGGACATCATGCCAGAACATCTCATCAAATGGAATTTTAAAGAAGGTTAGCGTGTTGGCTCAATATTTGCCTTTCCGACTATTCAAAAATAACAGATTAACTAAGAAACACAAACGTTACTCAAACTTTGACTGCTCAATAGCTCATGGTCCCCATGAGCTTTTCTTACTAAATGATTGGCTGTTCCAGGTTCCAAGAAAAAATACTTGATGTGAGAATCAAAGAGCGAGGGGATTGTTTTTTTTTTTCCTACCACCGCCCCCTTCCCCAGCCGATCAGGCGCGTCTTATTTTTGAGCTGCCTGTTTTTGCGACCTCCCTTCCCGACTATCTGAAAGCCTGGCACAGGCTGAACAAATGACATTTCCAAAGTTAGAAAATGGTGATAACATTGCAAAAAAGAAAAAGGTCATTACTCATTACTATTGGTGCTGGCTACCTGGTAAAAACTCTTATTCAGCCCAAAAGAAATTGAACTTAAGAGCCTCAGTTTTCGTGTAAACAGCACTGTCGCGTGTGTGACAAGCATCTGGTATGCTGTTAGGGTTTAAATGTTGAATTAGAGTAGAGTGTATCCTGTTATGATGTTCAAAGCGATGCCGTGTTAGGATTTTAGCCCAGTGAATACTTGGCTAGGAAGACTTAAATGATCATTTACAATGACACAGGCTTCTCGGGAGAAGACATAAGAGGTTTGTCCTACATGTACCCATACATTTTCACATCCTGATCACTGATATGTTAGTATGAGAGTCACCTCTTCTATTACCCTGTCTTGTTACTTGGTTATAAAGCTGTTGTCAGCCCTACAGTTCATCCGTTTGGGCTAACATTGGATGATTCCCTGAATTTTTTTAAAACACATTACCAAAATAGGCAAATAGGAAGAAGTTAATGAATGTTCTTTGTAGATTAATAAAGATTATATTATAGTTTCGGACCAAACTCTGCCTTAATAATTAATGTATCATTTTCTTTACTGTTCCTCGGTATGGCATCACTGTTTGAAGTCTGATAGCAAAAAACTGGAAAGGTTGCCTGAACGAGCACTGCGTTATCTATACAGTGATGTGTCTTCTCAAAATAGCACTTTGTTTCATGGTCGTATTGGTTACAGCCTTATGGATCGACTTGACCAGAATTTGTCAATTATTGTGTTTAAAGCAATAAGCAATTATCCACCTGAATATTTGAGAGACCTTTTCAGGTTAAGAGACAACATCAAAAATCTGAGAGGGGTTAACAAGCTACAAGTATCGAAACCTAATATGACTTGTTATGGCAAAAACTCAGTAAAACACTATCACTTAAAACAAGATTTCTGATACCTTAAGATCCCTAAACATTTATTGTTAGCTTTTGTGAAAATGGTTCGTCAGAAGACTGGTTCTAGCTAATTAATAATATAACTATTTACAATCGGCTATAAGAAAAGTAGTTTGCAGAAAAACTATATCAAAATCTAAATATAAACTAATTGTTCTAACAAAATGCCTTGCTGAATAAAATGTCCAAAGTTTCTGTTTAAAATCACTTTTGGTGCAAGCAGATCTAAAGCTTACGGGAAGACTGTTCCAAAGCCGTGGCGCTGCCGCCATTCTTAATAACAGCTATATCTATCATGTAATTAGGATTTTAATTGAAAATTAATAGCTTTATTGCGTAATTTAGGTTTTATATTGCGAGTAAGTTTTTCTTTTCCCTTTTACTTATCGTTAATTTATTTATTTGTTTTTTTTTTCGGCTTATTAGCGTATTTTATTATTGCTAGAGGTCTAAATAACCTCATCAATCCCGAGATTAAATAAAGCTTCATTCGATATAACCTCTGCCTTAGGTATGGGAAGCCTAAGTCAGGAGGAATGGGAAGAACGAATTTTGCATCTCTCCATGGATGTGCTGAGTGAGACCATGCTGGGCATAAGACTGAGTGGACACAGCTTTCTGCAGTGGAGATTTGAAGTTCTCAAGGAGGAAAAGTGAGTTTACCTTGATTGGCATTTTATTTTGTGAAATATTAGAAGAACAATATTTTTCCTATAGAAAGCTGAAGAAGTTGGACATCTTCGGGTATTAAACCATGAGTTTAATACCCGAAATATCAGTTGGAATAGCGCCGGTCTGCTGAGCGAGATGCCCGGTGGTTCAAATTCCGGCCGGACCACCAACTAGCGTCGTCCCGCGAGTTACCATACGGTTTGTGAGATACGTATTTCTAGTTCAATAAAGTTAGTAAGATCATGCTCGCTGCGTTAAAAGATCTTGTCTGAGTTCAGATGATCGCGCCATTGGGCGGGGACGTGACGCTGTTACCCTTGTCTCTTTCATTTTTTTCTTCATCGGTAGGGAAGAAGGGGACGTAAAAAACCCACACCATTGTTCGAAAAGAGGAAGACAAGTTTCCCAGTTGTATAATCGGCCTCTGCCTCTGATATCACTTCACTTCATTTGTATCATACACTAGGCAATCCCGTAAGTGGACCGCGAGAGGTAGCAAGCGACGTCATAAGAAAAGAGTTTAACTCCCAGAGGACACTAACATGGCTGCCAAATTATTGTTTTGGGGGGGAAACCAACGTAAAGGATGTGACTTCATGTGAAAAAGCTCTTTAAAATGTAAAGAGGACACGACACGCACTGCTGTCGTCTCATCCGCGACTAGGGTCTGTCGGATTATGCTTGTAAAATAGCGTATTATGCTTTCGGGCGTCACCCGTGAAACCAAGGGTATTATGCTCAAAATTATGCTCGGCTCGAGGTTTAATACTTAAATTATGACACTTCCACCCCACCCCATAGGCCTGTACCTACTGATAAACATTCCTAGTCTTTCATTTTTGAAAGAAATGTTAGACAATAACAGTACAGTTCCTGGCTGATCACCAGCAGCAGAGTCTGAATTATCTGATTCTGCCATGATGCAAATCCACGAACTATATACAAGCTTGAAAGCCTGGCATAAAGAGGTAACCAGGCCTTCGATTATACCAAAATGCACTGGGTACGAGTCTAAGGAATCAATTTCCTAAAATATTCTCGCTTTTATCAACGTTGTACATTTTTGCTAAAGTTGTTGGCAAAATTTGCATAGTATTACACTTTTCACAGTTTTTAGAAACAACAGCATTATAGTATCACGCCAGCATTATACCTGATTCTCCAGATATAGTATTATGCTGAAAATTATGCCGGGATAATCCGACAGACCCTATCCGCGACATTACATTACAAGTCTTGACTGTTTATTATTACACAGGACGTGCTTTGGGAGACCAACTGGAAAATACAAGAAAGCATTACATGCATTTAACCACCTGAAAGAAGCAATTGCAAATGCTCCTGACATAAACCCAGTCCTAAAGGAGGCTGACAAAGCTGGTCTGACAGAAGACGAAGCAGTGTTGGAGATCTTGTGGATGCTGAAGTAAGAATAGATTCAGATTGTTTTCTGTTAGGTTTAATATAACGACTTCTTGCAAAATAAGGAAATGATTAAAATCTGCAGATAAAACGGGGAATCAACAGGTAAGTTTTCTCCTTCTTAGGCATAAAATGCCCTCTTTTGCTACTTTTTGATGTTTTTACGTACTTAACAAAAGTCAAAAGGTTGAGTTTGATCGTCCGGGTGAACGTAGTCCTGAATAGGACTGTTGTTGACAGTGACTGACGTTTCGACAACCTGTGCGGTAGTCATCTTCAGAGTCAAAGTGAGTTGTGTCACGTCAGTTGATGGTATTATACTCTGGTATCAGATCAATAACCAGAGTATAATACCATCAACTGACGTGACACAACTCACTTTGACTCTGAAGATGACTACCGCACAGGTTGTCGAAACGTCAGTCACTGTCAACAACAACAGTCCTATTCAGGACTACGTTCACCCGGACGATCAAACTCAACCTTTTGAAATGACTCCTGGGTTCAAACCTTTCACAGTTTAACAAAAGTCATTGACAGGGAAAGCATTTATTTATATCCTCCCAAATGTTAGAAAAAAGATTCAGAAGAGATGAGTAAAACCGCCACCTTTTGTTGATTCCTCTGATTCTAAGGCCTAGGCCAAACGTCGAACTATTCAGAAGACCTACCAAACTTAGCGAGTTAAGTTCATGAAAACTGAGTTCGATATTTGGCTCATTCAAGTTCGTCTGAATGAGTTTGGATAGTCCAACACGCTATCCGTCTGATACGTTAAACGTCTGCCGGGACTCAACAGACGATCTTAACTTGTAATTTAGGTTGACCCAAATTAGAGTTTGGTTCGTCTCATGAAAAGTTCGACGTTTGGCCCAGGCCTAAGGATATGTTTTCAATATGCTGGATAGCTTTTCGTGTCGGCACTTAAAGCTCTCCGGTATAGTATGAACACCTATCCAATAATTGACTCTCCACTTTAGAGATCGGTGTGGCGCGGTTTCGCTCCGTTACAGAAATCGCCCCCTATCACCCTTCTTATGCTTGAACAGAAGCTCTATCCGGTATGGTTTTCGTACCCGCTGCAAAAGTTATCCGGTGTAGTGTGAAAAAATCCTAAGAAAGCCCGATCCGAAGTCAATTTTAACTAATTTGATAACCAATTTTCAGAGGGCTTGGCAGTGGCGGATCCAGTGGAGGGGCCTGGGGGATCCACCCCCCCCCCCGCCCCCTATCTTTGATCAAATTCAGGCCCAAATAGCCGAAAAAATTCTTTGTCAGACCGCCCCCACCCCCACTTATCTCAATGCCTGTCTGTGCCTGGATAACCGGGCACCCCTTTATCTGAAGGTCTGGATTCGCCACTGCTTGGCACACTATAAATGATACGATTTATCCGAACTAACTTTGATATACAATTTCTTTTCAGTTTCAACGCCGCTCCCGGCACAGGTGCAGCTATGCGATCATTGGCCGCTCGCCTGTCAATCATGACAAACGAGGAAAGAAAGGAGTTGAAAATGGAGATAAGAGAATGCTTGGGAACGATCGGGCTGAATCTGAAGACACTTCACAAGATGAGAAAACTAGACAACTTGGTTTGCGAGGTATAATTATTTTGCCTGGCTGGTAACAGTGGGTTACCTTTGTTTACTCCAAGGATAACACCCTCATTTCGTTCATTTTGTTGCTTTTTAGAGACCGCTCTGTTGTAGTTGAGATTGTTGTTCATTTTTGTTGTAGATTCTAAGGATGTATCCCCCAGTTGCGTTATATTTTGGAATTGCCAGGTAAGTGTCTTGACAACAATGCGTAAAGTTGACCATTTTAATCAAAATTGGCATGGTAAAATGCCGACCGGCAATTTCTCTTCAAATTTTCCACGCGGAGTTAGATGCACTCTTATTGCAAGTGTAGATACGAGGTGCTGTGAGTGTAAACGCCTTCTTTCAAAGGGCATAGTTTTCTAATAAGCAACCTGAAAATATTTGTTAAGATCTGTTACCAACTGATTAGAAGGCTATGCGTAGATGTCACGCCGGGATGGCCTTGGATTTAATTTTTTCGTAGTGAAGACCTTGTCCTGATAATAAATTCGTTGTCGTTACACCACCATTCCCGAAGGGCGTAGTTGATAAGAAAATGAACGTAATAGTTAAGGTTGTCACCAATTTATTAGTACATTAGAAGTGAACAGAGGCGATTTAGTGCATAGATGTCACGAATGGCCATATTTTGAGTCTGAAGACCTCGTCTCGGGGCGCTAATAAATTCGCTGTCGTTTACTTTTCCCTGTTGTTGGTCTTACATCCGTACTAAGGACGATCGCAAACGATAGCAATTCCGAGCCACCTTGGTTTTGCGAGTTTGACGTTATACATATAGTAAAGAAGATCACGCTCTGAAGAGAGAGTTCATGAAAGTGGATGTAAAGGTGGTGGTGGTACATGGTCCGTTCGTCATTAAATCGGCAACCAGTTCTTTTTGTTCGAGGATTTTTTTGTCCTGTGTCACAATTCTTGTCACCTTCACATCTTCTAACTATGAAAATATTGTGAAATTCAAGGTTAAAGATGTGTCTCAACGATTTTAAGGGCAAGGGGCAATCAGCGTTAGCTCAGTGTCATGTGGGTCAGGTGGTGTCCCTATGAGCAACCGTGATCAGTTTAAGTTTCCTCAGTGTCCCTTTGTCTACTTTTTATTTCTTTGGGGGCCTGGGACTCGGGGTGGCATTTATTTGGATTATAGCCAATACCCTTTGGTGTCCATGTGAGTGTCATGTTTCATCTTGAACCAAGGATTTGATTGAACAGTAATTTTAAATAAATGCGGCTATGGGATTTTGCCCATAGCCATTTCATTGTTTCAGTTTTGGGTTTGTGCATATAATTTATAAGGGAGAAAAGGCATAAAAATACATATACATACAGACATTCAATATATTACAAAAATGCTATTTAAAGGTTAAACAGAAGTAAATTGTAAGTAAAAGAATTTAAAGGATTTTTCTGTCAAGGAAGCTCAAAAAGAAACCTTGGGGCTTATTATAAGAGCTCCCTCCCTAACCGAAGACTAATAAAATATAAAGAATAAATTAGCGGCGAAATCATACTGAACTACATTTAGGATAAACTGAAGCAAGCAAAACAAAACGGACAAAACAGACAAAAAGCAGTCAAAAACATTTCATGAAAGGGAAAATTAATAAACAAAGCTGCTTCTTACCAATGAAATAATTACACGAAAGAAAGAAAGAAAACTAGAAATTTAGGCAAATGCTTGCGAATGTTGCAAATGTGATAAATAAAGATAAGACAGTCATTAAAAAATTCCCTGTTCATCCATCGCTAAAAGTTGTGTCTGTTTCTCCCTTCTCAGGCGGCACTTTATCATGAAATCCGGTTCTGGAACTTTTAAAATTCAGAAGGGCCAAAAATTGGTAGGAAATTGTCATCTAGCTCACAGAGATAAGAAGGTTTTTGAAGTTCCTGGCTGCAAGGATGTAAATGAGTTTGATCCAACCAGATTCAAGCAAAAGGTAGGATGAGTGACTTGGGTCACTTTCTTAATACAGGGACGCATTCCCACCCACAGGGCCACCACCTTTTTATTCTTGTGAAGATTGCAATAATGTGGCTTTTGGTCCGTGGTGCTGGCCTAAAGGATGGTGTCACAGTGGGACCCCTGTCTTAGACACTTAGTTTAGATAATTCATTCTACCGGGAAAATCATGTTTACTTTCATATCTTTATCTGCCTTTCAAAATATGTCACATTTCATACAATTATTTCAATTCGAGACACTTAATTCAAACAGTACACTCACAATACTCACAACTAGTTCTCGATTGTCCTTGTACCTTGGTCAGTTAGAGCGCTTGTAGAGATCAGAAGTAGTGAATTCAATCCTCGCAATTTCTTTTTATTCCTTTTTTAACTCACTTTCCTATCAGGAAACTGCAGTTCCAAAAGACTTGAATAGAGCATGTCTCACTTCTCAGCTCTCAAAAATTAACCCAAATTCAAATTTAATTTCGCTTTGTGCGAGTGCTACGCAGCTTTGACACTTGGCAGTCACATAATCGGAAGAATGAACTTATAAAAGTCTTTGTAAACTATCTATCATATCCGTTATTTTTTGCAAAAACAGAAATTAGTTTTGAGGTCTTCTCTTTCGGAGGGTCGTTATTTTCGGGGAGGGGGGATCCCTACTTTTGGGATTTGCTAACACCTGTGACATTTTATCGCTACTTTCTAGGGGTCGTTACTTTCGGAACTTTACGGTATCAAGATATTTCTTCTCTCCTAGCGTCATCAGCGAGTATAAAACTTCTGATTAGAGAAGGACCCTCAGAACACCTTGGGCTAATACTAATGCTCTCATGGTATCTTTCAGGGCCTTAAATCTAAGCTTATCTGCTTTCACGGTGCGTTATCTGATCCACCATCAGCTGATAACCACAAGTGCACTGGGACGGTAAGATATATTGGATTAATTAATATCAAATGCAACCATTGCTACACTTATCTATGATCTAACTAATAACAGAACAAAAGTTTCTACTTTCTTTTTTTTTGGTTCTTAAACTTCCGTGCCTTCTTTTCCGAAAATCGCTGTTCCTATGGCTACAACCGCTGTACATAATCCGATTAAAGACTTAGATTAGCATTGACGGTAACTTGTCAAATTCCTATAAATCAGCCTTGTTTAAGGTCCTACTTAAATTCTCATCCCGCCTTTTTGAGCGACCTGCGCCATTATTTTGGCTTGATCGAGGTCCAGTTAGTGACAAAGAAAAGCCAAATACTTCCTTCTAAGATATCATTTGTTATGCATTATAGTCCATGTAATATAAGTTAGAATTGAGGCAATAGAAACTTTTGAATGAGAGTAGATTCTATTTTTGCTACAACGCCAGAGTTTATTTGTTGCCAATAACATGCCATCTTTACACTGCTTATTTTAATTTACTAAATAAATATGTATTTCTTCCTTTCTTTTCAGAACGTCGGATATGTGATAATTAAGTGTTTTGCTCTTTACTTGATCAGCTTCTGTGACTGGAATTTGGAAGAGAAGCCTTACTGGACCGATAAATCGTAAGAACATTTCCTTGTCTGCAAAGCGTAAATGTTATTTAAGGGGGGAGTCTAGTTAAAAGCAATATTTTTCGTTGATTTCCACCCTTTTTCTTAAATATCTCGCCAAGATTTCATTCAATCCAAAAATGACTTATTTAAGTTGCAGTCCTTCATTCAATAATTGTTTGAGAATTTTTGGATGATTTTTCGAATGTTTTTAATGTATAGAAATTAGGGAGGGGGGGAGATGTTTAAAATATTGAAAAAATGAAAAATATTGGAGTTGAGGGTTGTTAAAAATTAAAATATGAAGTGATTAATTGGTAGACGATTACCAGATAGTCCACCACCACAACAAGGTGCCTCTGATCCGATTAGCGAACTAACTGGTTTATGTGTATAGCCCATTCTACCCTCATATATATCCTTCCTAAATCAACATCATTTCCCCCAAATTTTAACCAGTCTCCCCCGTTAAAGTGTGCCTGTTTTCTTTATCCTGATTCATTTAGCAGTTCAGTTGCCGATCTTGGTGAGCGGCCCGAACTCCCCGCCACCTTCCCTCCCCCCAACCTACCAACCAGCCCCTATCTGACATTATATTTAGACTGAAACCGAGGCCCGCACGAGGCGTCTAGTTACGGTTAGAGACCCGTCACAACGACTGAATCCAGTCCGCAAATAAAGCTTGTCCATCGAGAAAGGTGTATTGTCGAATTGACTGCCTAGTTGATTAGACTTCGCGAATGACTAACTTGCTGGAAAAAAGAATTCAAATTGTCTCAAATTCGGTCTCAAATTGTTTCCTCTTTTTCGCGGATTTGTTTCTCAGCCACCTGAACAAATCCAATCGATTGAAAAAAAAGGAAAGAAAGAAAGAAAAAAGAAAACTTGCGATCAAAATCCCGCTAGTTATGTAGGGTTTATTGTAATCCTTTTTAGAATAATAAAATTCATATACAATTGTTGCGCAAATCTCTTTTCAGACTGGTCCGTTACGGAAATCCAGACGAACCTATCCGCCTGAAATACTTTAAATACACAAGAGATAAGGTAAGAATTTTATTACGTTTTCAACTTTTAATGGAAGAGGTTTTGCAGATAGGTTTGGTTTAATAGTCTTATCACAAGATTTACAAGTGACTTGGTTTGCTAAAAGTTACATATTTTCACGCCTTTGTCACTTGATACATCTCAGGCGTGCCATGCTTGTAGGATTTCAAGGGAAATAATCACGGCTCGAAAAATATTAGCGTATACAGTCGACTCTCTCTTAACGGACACCTCTGTAAAACGGACACTTAGAGTTGGTCCCTGCCTTTCTTTACTCCCTCTATTTGACTCTCTATAAGACGGACATCTCTCTAAGACGGACACTTAGTGCAGGTCCCAAAGATGTCCGTCTTAGAGAGAGTTGACTGTATTTCCTAATTAATCAGTTTTAATCAATTATTATCATTGGTATGAATTTTTTTCGTCATTTCTTTCTTATTCTGTACCTTCCAGAGGTTATAATAAGAGAATAATGGATCTTTATATGTTTCTGGCATTTTCCCGTGGTTTTCAGTATGCAAACATGGTACAGTCAACTCTCTCTAAGACGGACACCTTTGGGACCTGCACTAAGTGCACGTGTCCGTTTTAGAGAGATGTCCGTCTTATAGAGAGTCAAATAAAGGGAGTAAAGAAAGGCAGGGACCAACTCTAAGTGTCCGTTTTACGGAGGTGTCCGTCTTATAGAGGTGTCCGTTAAGAGAGAGTCGACTGTAAGCATAAGCATAAACAAGATTGACCTCGATTTCCTGTATTGGCATGCAGATTTTATCTGTTTTTTACCCACTGTGAATCCACTTGACTTTGAGTTTATCCCTTCAGTCCTGGATGGCTGATATGGTGTGTAAGGTCTATCGGAAGTGGAACTAGGGGAGGGGCCCAGGTTCCCGGCCCTAATATCACTATTATTACGATCAGTCAGCACGCTGCAGATCAATACATTTTATTATTGTCCTTTGCGACCCCAGCTTACGCCACAGACGTAACTAAGTCCGTCTGCGAAACAGCACCGAAGTCCTTCTTCTGGGCCCCCACCTACGTACCAGTCCGCGCTATGATTGGCCTGTTAAAAAGCCATTGTCGATTTGCCAATCAAAGTGAAAGGAAATTCGAAACGCACTTCCGGTAATTCATTGAGTCCGTTGGGAGCCCAGAACAAGGATATCTACAATGCTTTGCAGAAGTTACTAACCGAGGTTAAGTAACGTCTGCGACACAGGCTAACTAGCCCCAAGCCAAGAAGGTTTGGTTGCAGCTCAGTTTTATGTAGTAATTTGTAACTATTTCTTTTTGCAATAAATAATGAAGGTTTTGGTTTCGATTGTCTGGTTTAATTCCACTTCTTAGGAAGAACTGCTGCTACCCGATCAGCCTGATAGTTCAAGTACTGAGGAGGAAGAGGCTGATGGTCCACCACCGGATAGTGAGTGCCCTGTGGACGAACCAGATGCTCAGGGAGCCTGCCCGATTTAACATGTGAACAACTGTGAATACCAAAGCTTGCTAGATAGAAATTTTTGTGGTATAGTACTATGGAACAGTACAGAGACTTTTTCTTCTGCTGTTTGTTTGCTAAGACGCGATGCACGTCGATAAGGCCCATGAACAACTAAATGTATTTTCCTACTAACAGTAAGCCAACTGATAAACGGAGAGTTATAACGCGTCAAGGCTAAAGCATTGTTTTCATTTAAGGATTTTGTGGCTATAGGTTTTCAGGGATTACCTAAAATCATCTGGCATCTTATAATGTTAGTCATTGCCTCGTGAAACAGTATATTTTTTTGTTTAATTCTTTATTGCTTTAATAAGAACTATTAGAACTGTCCAATTATACTCGCTCCAATCTTGAAAGCAGTGACCGCTCTACTGTGGAAATGTTAAACTTTTTAAAGGGACTGGGGCCCGTTTCTCGAAAGTCCCGATAATTAACTGGCCCGGTAAGCTGTCTCCGTTTACATTAAAGATCGAGGTTTCAATAGTTTTGCATCTAGCATGATAAAACTATTAGTTAGTGAAACAAAATGGAGTAGTTTGCTAGCCAGTACCCGCGCTCTTATTCTTTATATTTCGATTTGAATATTTGATTTCGGGCCCGAAAAGTTACCAGGACTTTCGAGAAACGGACCCCTGGACGGTACATATCCGTCCGTTTTTTTTAAGTTTGGTCAGTTACGTACTAGGAAACTTCAATTTCTGTCCTGATCCGTTCCTTCTATTGTATTTACTGCCGGTGCTGTTATATGCTCCTTCACTGTTTTAAGCTCATTGTCTTTTTCTTTTAATATTTATATCATTTGAAATTCGAAACTGTAAACTAAGATATTGGGGGTACCAAGGGTCAGCATTGCACGATTCCAGTTTATTTTCTATGCATATCTACATGGAAACATCGTATTTAAGTGAACAAGTGTTAATAAACATTTTACTGATGTTGTCTATATAAGCAGTCACAAATTCCAGCCATTTTTGAAAAAAAAATGTTGTTTTCATTTGAGTTGATTTTTCTATTGCTGCGTCACCACTAATGAACGAAACGAATTAAGAAAGAAATGGATTAAGTCGATAATGGAAGGACAACAGACGTGTCTCGTTACATTTCAGTGTTATTAACATGTTAACAGTTATCTGATTTCGATTCGTAAACATCTTGATGCATTTTTTCGCCGTGTCTTTTAAAAGACCGGGGTCAAACACCAGACTCCACATGAACCGCACTCGGTTAACTTCGACTTATTTTAAGTGCGCCGTTTGACCCAGTTAAGTGCGGTTGATGAATTGGATAGTGGATCGGGTGTTGGATGGGATAGCGGATCGGTCCATGAATCGGATATCGGATCGGTTTATGGATCGGATAACGGATCAGTTTATGGATCGGATATCGGATCGGTTTATGGATCGGATATCGGATCGGTTTATGGATCGGATATCGGATCGGTTTATGGATCGGATATCGGATCGGTTTATGGATCGGATATCGGATCGATTTATGGATCGGATAGCGGATCGGTCCATGGATCGGATATCGGATCGGTTTATGGATCAGATAGCTGATCGGTTTATTGATCGGATATTGGATCGGTTTATGGATCGGGTTTTGATCGATATGCCGAGGCGCTCATTGCGCCCTCTCCAGGCCCAAAGAACGCGTCAGCCGATCCAAACATAATCAGCATAATTAGCTTTACTGGGTCAAGGGGAGAAAACCCCTCACTAACCTCACATGAGCCGAACGCAATTCAATTTGTCTCAGTACACGGCTAAAAAGATCCATCCAGGTTCTTGTTGTTGTTGTTTTTGTGTTTGTGTTTTTTTTTTTTTCATAAATTAAAAAAAGACCAGACAGCGACTATACATCGACACTACTAGAAAAAACGCCTTAAAATTAGTAAAGTTGCCATGTTTGTAAATAATTTGTTGAAAACTGACGAAGATATAGCTTCCCAAAAGTCGCATTATTATCCAGATGTTTGTATGGTGAGGATTCCCACTAAAAACAAACGTCTGTAAAATTTCGTGACTTTGCCGAGCCATATCTTCATTACTTTGCGGCGGCGTTGACGGATGTCAGTTGTCTTATTGGTCCCAATCAAATGTGACAAAAACGAGGAACAACGGTTCTATTAAGTTCAGCCGTTTGACCCAGCGGTGGAACTTAACAATTTAGAGTGACTCAAACTGTAAATTAGTTTTGGTTTGTGTGAATTCGGCGTTCTGCCTGAGCCTTACAAATCAAAACGCGGAGCGTATTAATCTTAATACAGACATGGCAAAATCCTTTTTTAAAAGAAGGCCAGCGTCTAAAAAAGGAGCCATATCAAAAAATCATGTTAGGGCTTTTTTTCCTGCGCTCTGTCCTCACTTTAACGCGCATGCTTTCCTTTTGCGCCTCCTCTGCCCTCCTCTAAATCCGCCCATTGAGATAGTATGCCAGGTACATTGCTAATACGGTAAAACCTCTATTAAGCGGTCATTCCGGGACCTTCCCAAGTGTCCGCTTAATAGAGGTTGTAAAAATTGCGCAATGTTTGTTAACGATCAACATTCAACGGTTACTCTGTACTGTGATAAAGTTGCATGTTGTTTAAGAAGCCGTCTAGAGTTTAAGTTCATTACCTTTCATTACCAACTTTAATTTGTTTGTAAATGCATGCAAAAACATTAACTGACTTCAGTACGTATTTCAAGGACGTAATCCAATGCTACTATTGTCAATTCAGTCCAGTGTCCGCTTAATAGAGGTTTTTAACAATAGAAATTAACCAAATACAACTTTTTTTTAGTGTCCGCGTCCGCTTAATAGAGGTGTCCGCTGAACAGGGGTTCGTTATAAAGGGAAATATCAGACGTTCGTTAGTGTCCGCTTAATTGGGGGTACGCTTAATACAGGTTTTACTGTACATAAAGAAATCTTGAATCCTGGTACTCCAGATTGTTTGGCAAATGAGTTAGAAAGTGGAGTCCGCTCGCATTTCATTGTCTTTAGTGTTCACTATCGCATGGCATAAGGGTTATCACATGGGTAGTTTAGAAAGAAGATTTTTTAATCAGGCTAACGGATAAGGTTAATTGACCAAGGTCGCTGACGTTTTATCAAAATACGTTTTGCATTTGCTGGTTTTTTAATCAAACTAAAAAACGTCGCAAAAAAAATCGGAATTCATTCCAATACAAGACAGAGGGGGTTTATAACCGGAGGCATTTTAATCAGATGTATTTTTTGTCTGCACGTAGATGGGGCGATAACTAGCGGAAGGTGGGGCGGAGGGGTGGGAGTGCTTAAAAGCGCCAGCTTAAGCCTAGTTCTCATATGCGGCCGATGTATCTGCGACGTAGCCATCGGTACCTGGCATGGGCTACTTCTTCGAGGAATGAGAACATGCGCCGCCGGCAACTAGAGCCATAGCAGGGCTTTACCGCCGGCATGCCCGCGAAGTTGAACTCGAGTCAACTTCGCAGGTATGGCGGAGATAAAGACTGGGGTGACCAATGTTGCAGGCCCCTTCCGTTCTAGCTCATATCGGAACAGTTTCCAAGGCAGTACCGGCGACCATGTTGCAGGTGTATCGGCGGCATATGGAAACGAGTAGGACGAGCGGCAAAGAGGGTGCTCGATGTAATTCGCGTTGACGGCTTTCAAGCAGCTGGGGCTCCGACTGTCTCCTGAGTGCACCGATCCCTCTTTCCATTTACCCCATTACTGTCGTGAACACAGTAGCACCAACAACAGTTTGCCGCAAAACCGTGCACATCCATTAGCGCTTCAGCAGGATACTCTTTGGCTTAAGGGTGTTGCCATGGCAATTATTTATGTTGCATTAGTGTATTTTTACGTAATTATGCTTCCGAGCTACCTTCCCGCACTGCGTTTTTTCCACGGTATGGAAGAAGACAACAACATGTATGATCTGCTTAACGATTATTTAGATACTTTGAATGTATAAGCAATGCATATCAACAAGTCCAGACTTCTCGCTTATTAGTCTTATTAGAAACGTTTACCACAAAGTACTTCATGTCGTGATCATATCGCAATTGCGTGCGACGAAAACTCAGCATTCATAAATTTTCTTTGTTCCTCCAGAACACTCAAAGTTATGCGAAAAATCCGTCAGGCAGAGCTCTTATATTATATGATTATACTGAAAGCGTTCGATCTCTTTATTGCCAGATCGCCTTTCTAGTTCTGAGGTCGTGAAGAAGCTGAGTTTTCCAAACTTTTTATTAAATTTTATTTCTAATTCATTATTTCTTTCACTCATATATTGGCTTGACTTCAACAACACAACAACAAATCAAGCGAAAACAATTTCTTTAGCAGTAAAGTTTCCTGCTTCAAAAAAACACAAATGTCTTTTCCTTTTTCCTCATTAAAGTAGCATGCGCTTGGTTTAGTTCTAGTTCTTCAGTTAATGTATCTTCTGCTGAGAGACTCAAGTGACTTTGTCAGTTTTGAGGCTGTGTATTTGTTTGTCTCGGCAATTGAATGCAAGAAGCCATAGGAGCGGTAGCTTCCTATCCGAGTGGGTTGCTTTTAATTATCCGCATTACAAGTTTACGCAACAACTGTTTTCTTGAATTGCAAATTTCTTTTGTTGTTTTAAGTATTCACTAGAGGGAGCAATTTTAATGCAAATTTTGTCACCCCTCAGATCATGTTTATCGGGTAAAAATGAACAGATTGCAAATGGTGCGTGTAAGTTTGTCACAAGATTGCGGACATAGTGGCAATAAAATCATGCCTGCATAATCGATAATGACCAATTAAGATCGTTCGAACGGCAGGTAAGAGGACCATTTTACAACATGCAAACCGCATGGGAATTTCAATGTTAAGTGTGAATTACTTAGCTATGTGCAGCGGTTTTATGACTTGACAACACAAGGGCAAACAAGTTCAGCGAAGTTTCAAGTGTTCTTTTCTTTTCTTTTGCGAAGTTCTATACAGCACTATGCAAGTTTCTCCTACTTGTGAAGTGAAAGAAGTTCCTGGGCAGGATAGATGGAAGTTTCTGCATATTTTTCAACTGATCAGGGTACGTACTAAATTCCCCTGCAATGGCACAGTCGATTGTAATTTACATTGTCCTTGTTCGAGGGAAGACGCAAGATAGTTACGTCTTTTAGTGTTGCTTCCTTTAACACAAACTTAGAATTAAGGGCCAATAAGGCACTTTATAAACGAGCGGTTTGCTCTTTACTGATGAAAGTTTCAAAGCTCAGATTTGTCATTATTTCTTCGCGACTGAAAGCATTTTACACTGGGAAACGTCGTGTAACTATTTTATTGTGTAATTAAATTTGAAATCTCCCTTATTCCTTGCAAGTTTTCTTAACAGCCTTAGATTATAGCGTCATCAAATCGAAAATAGTGACTTCAGCGTCGTCATGTTCATGTCATGATTTTTTTATCCCACGTTATTGTGTTATACCGTGTTAATGGCACCAAACGTCATTATACATGCTAAAGAAATGGCTATACATCACTGAACTACGTACGTCTGTCGTTACCAAGGTAAACAAGAAACTGCCATAAAATTCTTTTATTGTTTCTGTTGTTTACGAATCGAAAATGCAATTCTGTGTCGGTCATTGCCAAAAAAGCCAGTGTACAAAATCAGCTTAACCAAGCCATTGTACTCTGGCCTCTGTTATAAAATTTGCCTTAAATTGATTTTTTTAGTGTAGAATTTACGTGTCATATGAGGTTTAGGTATACTGTATTTGATAAAGTCGTTGTGTTTTATTAAAAACCATGCTTGGTAACAATGATCAGCGCTCCGCCAAGCAAATTATCTTTCGAAAGACAAACATGTACCTCTAAAATAAACAGTGTACAAAATCAGCTTAACTAAGCCATTGTACTCTGGCCTCTGTTATAAAATTTGCCTTAAATTGATTTTTTTAGTGTAGAATTTACGTGTCATATGAGGTTTAGGTATACTGTATTTGATAAAGTCGTTGTGTTTTATTAAAAACCATGCTTGGTAACAATGATCAGCGCTCCGCCAAGCAAATTATCTTTCGAAAGACAAACATGTACCCCTAAAATAAACAAAGTCCAAGTGGATTTGTTAGTTTTTAATTTACAGCAACTGCTGCTACTGCTACTGCTACTGCTACTGCTACTGCTACTGCTACTGCTACTGCTACTGCTACTGCTACTGCTACTGCTACTGCTGCTGCTACTGCTGCTGCTACTGCTACTGCTACTGCTACTGCTACTGCTACTACTACTACTACTACTACTACTACTACTACTATTACTACTACTATTACTACTACATCTCCACTTCTTCCCTAGACAACTGCCATTATTATTATCATCATCACATCTAAACACATGAAAGAGCACATCAAGAAGGATTCTAACAGGCATTTTGTCGAAACATTCTGAAAATTCTGAACTTAAGCCAAATTTTAACACTGGAGAGAGTGGAGTTTTCGATCGATACGACAATGACATAAACATGTCAAAAATCCACGACTGCGAACGTAATTCGTCACCCATGATATAATGATAATTAAGTGGTACACCCGTGAAATTAGGAAATAAGTTCACTTGCGTTTTGCCCAAATCCTAATAATTTCCCGAGCCTTGGATGGATAAAACGCGGGGCACTCTTCCCCATTACGTAAGATACACTTTTTTAGTGCGAGCACAAAAGAACAACTGACTTTGTTGTCACTTAATTATCCGAACTTACATACATACATACATACATACATACTTTATTGACTTTCCCAAGGGGCTTTTCAAAGACAATACATGATCCTATTTACAATTAAAAAATGTTTTAAAATATATATAAAATTACAATTCTTTAAGTAATTTAGTACGTAAACGAGTTTTAAAAACATCAATCGAGTTACACAGTTTAAAGGAATTGTCTAAGGAGTTCCATAAGTTCACAGTTCTATAGAAAAATGTTCTCTGACCGGCAGCTGTTCTTTTTCAGCTGTTTTCTCCATCGATTAATTTAATACCCATCGAAGCGTTAAAAAATGTTCAGCAGAATGCTATCAAAAGGGTCGCAAATATTTTCAAGATATTACAGAATCGCTTTCCTCCAACCCTACCAAAGATTATTGTACCACGTACAGAGCCTATTAAGCAGCCGGGCGCGGGTAGGGTCGGCATAGCAGCCATATATAACAAGATATTGGCAACATATTGTCAAACAGCACAATGCGATATTTGCCGTCTACAAATCGACAGGCACTGTTATGCATATCCAGGCCTTTCAAGAAAGTTATTGATTGGCATTTGATTTACTTGAAAAACAAACAATTGTTTCAAAAAATACTTGAGTATATATTCAATTACGTCAAACTACTCGTATGTGACGTTAGTTCTAACAAAGACAAACTTCGCCATTTTATGATTAATTCAATTTTTCTTGGTTGCTCTTGTCGTGAAAACCACTAAAAGATTCCTAAGTCTTACCGTCTTTAGGCCGATCTTGTCAGTTTTTTTCCGCAAGTTCATGAAGTAATTTTGTACAAGCTGACATTTGAAAATTCCCGTTACAAATTATGAATTTTTCCAGGTTTATAGACCCTCTTTATAGTTGTTTATAGTCAGTAAACAATTACCTGAACATAGTCTATTGAGTCAATACGTAGAAACTTATAAAATAATTAGCGTGTACCCATTCGACACTGGACGCTAATTGCCAGGATTCACTTTCAAATTCAGTGGTCATCAATCATCCTCTGTCTGCTTGGTTAGATAGAATCGTTCTAATAGTTCCTTTATATGCATAATATATACTGATTCATGGCAATTGCAAAGAAAAGCTAATATGGCCTCTCGTACTACTACAATTAATGTCAATAATAATAATATAATGACAATGATAATAATAATAATAAATTTTGAAAATAAACTTAGGTGTGTTGTATTGCTGAAAAGACAGAAGTAAGCCACAAAACAGCAAAACACCAAAAGAAAACGTTGCATTCTGCGGTTAACTTAACAACGACCGAGACCGATTCTGTTTGGACCTAAGTGTCACTTTTAATTAAATTCAGGAAACAAAAAAGTGAATAAATGAAGTGACCATGAATATTAAATGTGATTTTGTCAGATGTTACGTTAATTTTATTATACCTGGGAATTTTACAACCAGGTTTACAATTAAGTAATTATTTTTCATTTGTTTCGTTATTTAATATGTGTCTATTTTTTTTAGACGGGCCAAGGATACTTTTACAAGAGAAAAAAGAAATATGGATCGGTCTTCAGGGTGAACATGGGTGTCAAGGGGGTCCACATCTGTGACAGAACAGGGATCAAAGTCCTTTTTGACATGGATAAGGTTGGTAAATCAGAGGTCTTCGTCTCTTATTAAAATCATCTAATTTTAACGTTGTTGCGTGTCTTCTACACGAAGTGTCGCTGTTTTACTTAGAAATTAAATTCAGGCTTTTAACGTTGACTGATTCTCAATTTCCTTTCTCTCCTACCCCTCATTCATGAATAACTAGGAATAGGAGACATAGGAAATGGAGAATCAACCTAGGTTGAAAAATTTTAAGCTGAATTTATTTTTGACCAGTAACATCGCCATTAACAGAAAATTGGCATCAGCCAGGCAATTGCATACTGGCTTCTAGACATGGCACATGAGCGATACATCTCCTTCAAACATCGTTTACAAGACAACCAGCTAGACAATTTTTTAACAAGTTTTTGTTTTAGTTGTTGAATCTATTGCTATTAAAATGGAGGGGGGCGATGTCATACATATATTTCCATGTAAAAAGATTAAGGTTATATTCACACTATACTGGATAACTTTTTGCGCCGGCGCGAAAATAATACCGGATAGGTCTTCTCTTCTGTTGACACAAGTACACTGTAAGAAAGGTGAGTTTGGCGCGATTTCTGTAGTGGCTCGAAGCTGCACTGCTCCGATCTCGAAATTGGAGAGTCACATATGGGATAAGTAGTTATACTATACCGGAGAGCCTCTCATGTCGTCTAGTGTCAGTAGCGGATCCAGGGGGGGCGAGGCCTGCCCCCTTCTCCCCCCCACACACTTATTTTTAGACCAGACTAAGGCCCATAGGGCTGAAAAAAAATTTGGAGACCGGGCTCCCCCTTATTTCAGGGTCTGGATGACCGCCCTCCCCCCCACCCCCCCAACACCCTTATCTCAAGATCTGGAACCGGCACTGAGTGTGAACAAGCCTAAGAAGGTACACGTCGTTTCAGTTTGTGAAGTAGGGCGCCAATTTGGTATGTTACTAATAATTTTATATCAGTGAAACCTCCCTTAAGAGGACACCCTCGACAAATGATTTCAATCAGGTGTCAGTTGTAAAAACGTCCCGGCCTTTTCGGAGGGGTGTTCGCTTAAGGGAAGTAAAAACTGTTAGTGTTTTTACGGTACTTGTGGACAAGGACTATAGCGTCGGCTTTAATAATGCATAGGTGCCTTTTAGCGGTTCGATTCTCTGGAGCTCCTACGCTAATATCAGTTTGGTTTCAACTAACATAATAAACAAGACAACCTTTTTTTTGTCAGATTTACAAGGAGCCTGCTTTTGGACGACTGAATTATAACATTTCTCTATTGGATGGTTATACACCTTCAATGTTTTCAAATGGAGTTCCTCATGAAAAACAAAAGACATTCCTCATGCAGATTTGCAAAATAGCTCAGAGGAACAAAATATTTGAAACAAGTATCAGAATCTTCAAAGAATATTCCAAGATATGGCAAAATGCAGGTATTTTTTTCTTCTTTTTTCTTTCCGCAGCGCATAGAACAGAATCATGTCGGAGAATAACATAATGATGGTTTTTCACTGTCGCGCCATCAAAAAAGAAACCGTTCAATGTGTATAAATTCTAGAATCTGGGAAATGAAAAGAGGTAAATACACAAAGATACTCGGGCCAAAATTCAGGCCAGTACCTTTTCCATATGCGAAAAATATTCGCAGAAATGAGTTACCGATATTCAGACTCTATTTATGGAACTTTGCATGGATACACTATGTGTCCATGCGGAGGGTACATACGCTGATGGGCAGAAACCAACAGAAACATCTGTCACTGAGTTTTACTACGAAAGTGTGAATTCATCTGTCGAAGAACTCATAAACATTTAAGTTATATATTATTATTTTCTAATACAATAATTGTTCAGATAGTATAATTCTCCTCAATATGACAACTCTCTCGGTCACCAAGCAAATGTCTCGCCATGCGAAAGCTCAGAAATTCAAGCGTACTGTACCACAAAACGAAAAACCCTTTCGAACTGAAAATTTTTACAAATACCAGTTTTTAATTGTTGTAATATTTCACGAAAGTAAAAAATCATGAGGATTGATAATTCTTTTGTTCGAACTTTGATGAGGTCATGTGAAAACCACCAATACTCTTTCCACTGACGCCTTCGTGCTGCGCGGCTTGCAAGAATATCCACCTGTAAGCCAGAGCTTTTTACTTATTCGCTATACTAATTTATCTACAGATCATAAAATGGAGAATAAATGGGAATTGAGCATTATGAATCTAACGAGTGACATTTTCATGGAAGCTTTCTTTGGATGTAGAGTAGATCCAAATTCGATGTACAAATGTTTGAAAGGAAGCTGGCATAAAGGAAGGTTTGTTTTCCGTATAAAGTTAACGCAGCCCATAGAGTTAAAAAGTGAATAAGCACACAAACCAGACATAATCAAAACCCTTTAGGGTAATTTTGCATTAATTTGCTTTCATTGTAAAAGGTAAAAAAAGTAGAGAAGAAAACCTGTTCGTTATATAAGACAAAGTAATCCCAACTGTAGCCGAAAGAAAAAAAATCAAAACAAAAGCTTTCCGATCCCAAAAATAATTTTGCAAAAAATAATAAAAAGAAAGTTCCATTTTGGATTACTTTTAAGTATCTTATCTGGGACTCAATAATACAGACTCTGAGAAAGGGAAAATGCTTAATAGAAGCATTCTGGATTTGTTGCTCAGTCTTCCTCAGTTCAGTCCGTTCATAATGTAGAGACATCTTTTGTGAAAAAGTTAATGTTCTTGTTTACTCCTCTGTACCTTGATAGGGTGGATTATGTGAAAGCTAAATGTTATCATTATTATTTGTTTTTTTCCATTTACAAGCTGAAAGCTTACAGTGGAAGCATTGTCTAGAAAACGGAATGATTTACACGGCGCGTATCACCAAAATCCAAGTTGACCTGATAAATGATTCTCTTATTCGAATTTCATAAGGTTTATGATCCCCTCTGAACAATCAGTCGCAGAGGGGCTTGAAACACTGTACGTCCCAGGCCAAGGATGTTTTTCATATTAGACTTCGCATATGTGCTGATAGGTTTTTACTCATACATGCCGGCATCACGGTTACATCGATTCCGAGATCGTACTTAACTCCTAACATGAAAACTTTCAATGGAGGAGTGTCTCAGACATTTTGCAAACCAGTAAAATAATAACAAACGGATAGTACAGCTGATTCCTATTCTGAATAGTTTGCATTTGCTTTTTCGTTTTTAGTACCTTAAAGAACGCACTGGCAGCAGCTAGCTGTTTAAAACAAGCCCTCAGAGAAAGCCCTGCTGTGGCAGAAATTCTCCGAGTCGGAGTCCAGGCTGGAATCTCAGAGGAACAAGCCCTGATGGATATGTTATTCATGCTCAAGTAAGTAATTGAGTACTTTTCAAGGTAACGCTTATAACAATAATTAGTACTGTGCAACACTAATGCCAAAGAAGTTTCTTTTAATCGTTATCTCGCCACATAATTTTGTCCACAATCTCAAAATTCCAGGTAGAAAAGTAGTTGATGTAATTACAACTGACTCCTGGATGTCCAAGTAGGGCTTCCTGATTTCGGTATGTTAACGTGTGGAATTTCTCAAGGATCAATTCTTGGTCCACTGTGGTTCATTCTATTTATAAATGACCTTCCCTTAAGCCAGCTGTACTCAAGGCCCAGAATGTATGCGGATGACACCACTTTAACGTGCTCAGCTGAAGATGCTCATGCCTGATACCTTACTAGTGAAAATGAATTCTGACCTAAACAAAATTCAGACATGGCTTAAGGTGAATAAGCTTATTCTAGATGTCAAAAAGTACCAAAGAGTCGTTCCAAACTTGAACTACTGTCAGATAATTTCACAGTTAAGGTTTCTAATGTACCCATAGAAAGGGTCACTGTTTATAAATCTCTTGGAATCTCAATTGATGAAAATCTCTCGTGGAAAGCACACATTGATGAGATTTCAAAGAGGATATCAGCAGGCCTGTCGGTTTTTGTTCTAAGACGTGTAAGTCGAACCATGTGCAAAGCTCTCATCGCGCTCTATTTTGATTACTTCAGCTGTGTATGGGAATATATAGGGAAAGGATTATTAGCAAAACTTCAGCAACTCCAAAATAGAGCTGCTAGAACAGTGACTTTATCAAATTATGAAACGCGATCTAAATATTTATTGGATGAACTGGGATGGGAGGTACTAGAAGATAGAAAAGTAAGACAACTCGCCGTATCTGAGAAATATTTTTGTGAATGACTCTGACTGGATGGTTCACTGTTATAACCTAAGAAATCCATCAGTTAACTCCTATGTTCCTAAACCTAAGTTACAAACAGGGAAACATAGCCTTCACTACAGAGGGTCCCCCGGAATAAACTCTCAATAGAAGCAAGAGAGCAGGGGATCCTGAAGTTACTGTAATTTTTAATCTTCCTATTATAGTAATGTTGTAATTTTAATATTCTCAACTAATTGCGGCTCACTGGAAGACCACTGTAAATGTAAATGTGACTCCGTATTGAAATCGAGATTTGACGATGATGATGATGTACATTCGCCTAAGTAATTTGCGTTTCCTACAGTAAGTTATATAAAAAAAATTGTTTTCATCTGAGGAATTTCCATCGAAAGATAACTCTTGCTTCTTTTATTGCAGTTTCAACGCCTATGGTGGAGTGTCTGGTGCACTGCGAACGTGTATTGCAAGGTTATATATATTAGAAAACGAATACAAAGATAGAATGAAAAGAGAAATTATAACAGTGATGTCAAATGGCCAAGAATTTAGCAAAGAGTCTTTAAAAGAAATGCCACTTTTGAAAAACTTTATCCTTGAAGTCCTACGCATGCATCCACCAGTACCGGTCTTCTTCGGCCGAGCAAGGTAAGCGGCGCAATCCTTTTTCGAAAATACTGTGACACTTTTTGAGGCATTCCAGCGTAAGGTTATACGGTGCACTGTGAAGTATTTGTACTTTCCCTTCGCACCCACATGATTGCATCGCGGGCATGCGCACTAGGGAGACGATCAAAGACGCGTATGCAAGCTCTATTCAATGACATGGTACGGTGTAAAGCTACTATCCGCCTGCCAGAACAAAGACTATAAAGTCCTAATTATTATGAGCGAAAACGACCCCACAAATCTAAGCCTCTATGAGGCATTTTACATAAGAAAGCACAATCCTGCCCTCAATTCCCCTGAGGAACGTAGAGAATTCGCGGACCTTCTGTTTAAGAGTGTTTAAGTATTTTAGAGACTATTTTTTTGAATTTCAAGAGACCTTTGCCTAGAGACACTCAGTCAAGTAGACCGTTGTACTTTATTCATTTTCCAGTTTTTATTATTATTTCTATACCTTTTATACATACTTTACGTAATTTTTACGCTTTTTCACAGTTTACCTTTCATCTATTTTGTATTAAGCCCCATGCGGAATAATTTCTCATCCCCGATGATGCCATTGATCGGCGAAAGCTTGGATTACAATTTTTTTTATTTTTAATTTTATTTAACAGCAGTTTAAGGCCTCATTTGAACAAGATTTTTATTGGTTTCCGTTTAAGTGAATCAGCCATGCAAATATCTGTCTTTGCTAGTGTTGTCAAGAACATCCCGAATGAGCTCTCAAGTGCCAGGTGTTCTTGGAACTGATCTGACCATATAGGGCATAAAATGGTATCTCTAGCCCTAGAGATACCATAAAAATATATTCCATAAAAACTAAGTCTTATTTTTATTTATTACAACAGGGATAACCTAAATCTCGAAACAGATTCCGAAAAGTTCCGAGTAAGGAAAGATGAGCTTCTTGTGGGAAACGTGCACATGGCGCACAGAGACGAGAGTATATTCGATCAGCCGGACACATTTATGCCTTCTCGTTTTGAAAATAAGGTATAAGCAGGATAAAAAAGACGTTAAAAAGCTCATTGATGTTTTAGTATTTTATTCCTTGCCTCCTAATAATCCTCGTTCTTCATAATCTAGGAACCTGAAAATTAATTCGTTGTTTTCACTCTTTTATAGGCATTAATAAATCATATCATATTTGGATATGGGCCCTTTAACGAAGAGGCGACTGCCCAAAATCATCGCTGTCCTGGACAGGTAATGTTCAATTGAATAAAGTGTCTAATGCATGGTTCAGTGCGTTGTTTTTACACAAAGTTGGTGTTAAAGTCTGGGCCAGACCGAGAAAAAGACTGAGAGGCTGAAACAATGCATAATTCATTCATTAAAGATGTAAAAGTGAACTTCTCTCAAGGATGACTCAATTCCAGAAGCCCCATAAAAATATCTACCTCAGTAATACGGTCATCTACTTTCAATGGGTAAGATGGAAAATCATTTCCCTCCCTTACATAGACATGATTTTGCAGCATTAGTTCAATTCCCGCTATGATGCGAGGACAGACTTTTCAATCAACGGACGCTAAACAGTACAAAACCTCCTCGAACCGCCTTTTAGCTAGTGTGGGCGATAACTCTATCTTATTTGCCTCTTTTTTAACGACCCGCAGGACATCACCATGACAGTTCTCCAAGTAGGAGTATCGCATCTTGTGCTTAATTGTGAATACGCACTGAAAGAAATACCACAATGGACAGGGAAAACGTAAGACACTCAACACTATCACTTTCAACACTATTTTGTCTTTCGCGGAGATTATGGTTTCCTTTATTGTCCATAAATACTAACAAACGGTTGCTTTTTGCAGATTAAGAAGAGTGGGCTGTCCAGACAGGGAGTTCAAATTGAGATATTTTAAATACAAGCCAGCACACGAGGTAATTAAGAGCATTTCTTTGTCGGCAAGGCCATCCCAATAAAATGGTTCGTCTCCCATCGCCCCGTCTCTTGTGATGGTGGGTCGGTCGATCGGGCGAAAAAAAAATGAGCACTTGAAGGGGTCTGGGTTCTGGAGAGGGCCAGGCTGCTAAGTAAGAAAGCCTGGTTACAAAGTCAACTCGAAAACGTGGTCTTTTCGACTATCAATTGTCTAAACACAGGCGGCCCAGACGTAGTATGTGTCACTGAATGAATATGTTAATATCCACATGGACAAATTAATGCGATGAGTCGTCGAAACTCCCATGGACTAAAATAGTCTAAAAGTCAAAATATAACAAATCAAAGCTAAGATACCTTCAACTGAACGTATCCTTGTCTTTCCTGGCCGGTTTAAGTCACATTTTGTTGAGTTTTGAAATTGTAGGTACTATAGTACCTACAACTATTTTAGTCCATGGGAGTTTCGACGACTCATCGCATTAATTTGTCCATGTGGATATTAATATATTCATTCAGTGACACATACTACGTCTGGGCCGCCTGTGGTCTAAACAGCCTTTAAAAAACGTCGTATCGATGTTAATTAAAGATAAAGACATCACATCATACCAATCGTTGTTAATAAAGCAAGATCGTGTGCTTGTAAATTAAAGTACGTACTTGCTTCTTTGACTAGTGAATCTGGAATTTTTTTTTCTTTCTTTTACTTTTCGAAAATGGGTCGGTCGGACGATGAGAAACGAAACATTTTAGTGGGAATTCGGGACCTCAAAGAGCTGATAGCTTCCGTGCTACGATGGTTATCCACTTGTTCCTAGACGTCGCACTTTAGCTTATGTCTTCCGAATGCAGATGATATGACAGTAATTAATGGATAATAATACCCTATGTTTGATGGTCTCGGAAAGAGAACAAGGACGTTGACCGAGGCCGTGAAGCACAGTGGCTCTTAAAGGGATGGTTGATTGAAATAAACGCGAATTGGCCCAGTAATCACCATGCCGGGCCAGCCCAACCACAACCCAATCAAAATAATTCTATAAAGTGAGAAAATGTGTGCGAACAAGGAAAAATGAAATCTATTCAACTCTTACTTGAAACGAAGGTGTGCTTTTAACCATTGCGGTTTAACGAGCAGCAGTACAAAACCAAAGTTAGCCTGCGTAGCCGGCGGAATCGTTCGCGCGGGGAAAGTTCTGGCAGAGAAGCTGCTAAGCTGTACGGAGAATGGAGAGGAGGCAGAGCCGCCTGGCCGCTTCACACACTTTCATTCACACGCGCAAAAACCGATTCCACCGGTTACGCATGCTAAACCAAAGTAATTGGACATACTTTTGAAACACTTCAGAACTCAATAAATCGATCTATCTAAGATAAAAATTACAAAATCCTATGAACTCTGACAATATCAACTGTTGTTGTCATACAGTGGCTTACTTATGGGTTTCCTCTGCACGAAATCATACCTGATTCTGGGTCAGTGCTGCATCACCAATTTTACATTTATTGACAAAATTTATTCGGTCTCATCAGGTTTCGGTTAAACATGATGTTCTCTCTTTGTTCAACAGGTTGCCGGTTCGCAAGTTAAAGTTGAAGAAATAGCAGAAGTAAACTAAAAAAGACCCTCACAAAAACCATTACAGTATAAGTGAAGGTTTATCCTCGGAGATCCAGGGACAACTAAGATGACCAGATCTTTAAAAGAGAAAATAATGAGGGCGCTGGTTGTCGGAGGATAGTAAAGTGAAATTAGATATGACATTTGAAATGTCGGCGAAATACCTCAAGGAGCTGGCACAGAAACACGAAAGGAGAGGATCATCAGAAAAGTTAAGGCGGGGGTGGGGGATTTTTTAACTGCATGAACTTTTTCCGTTAATATTTCCCTTATTTCTTTAAATATTTTCCCTTGTATGAATATTTTTCGTACGTCGCCCCCCCCCCCCCCCTCCCATAACTTCTGCTAATGGTTCACCCTTGAAGTTCCTTGTTAAGGCCAGGTAGTACATAGGAAATGACAGAAGCTCTGCATTTGAAAATCACGTGAGACGAAGATCACGCGCGCGAATGGGGTCCCCGCGCCTCGCTTCCCTCACCTTCGCGCTACGCTCTCAGTTTTTCATATGGGCAGCTAGCTCGCGGGCTTAAAACAAAATTATCATTGGTTTTAAGTTGCCAAAACAAATAATCGGATCAAGCTAACAACAATTGGAATGGAACAAAGCATAGCCCAGCAAAGCAAATTCCAAAACTGCGCCAATCAATTGACTCACGATCACTTAACCCCTTGTACGTATTGTACCAGCACTTCGAGATAGACACAACGCATAAGAATAAGATGTGTAATTATTTATCCGTACACAAAGAGTACACCTCACAAAGTGAAAATAAAGTATTTTTATAGAAACAGCCCTTGCCTACTGTGTCAATCAACCCTTTTACTCCAAGAGTCGGTGACCTACAGCAATAGGCCACTTGCACTAAGAGGTCACGTGACCAATGCTTCCTTTAAACAATGTGTTGGAATCTTCATGCTGCCAAAAATTGACAGAGCACAAAAATTATCTTACATCTTTTGTGGCGATTTGATTTTTCAACGAAGTAGTATGATTTGTATTGGCCGCCATGTTGGAGGACATACTCTTGCCGTCCAACATGGCGGCCAAAACTACTTTTTGCTTATATCTTGTTAAACTTTTGATAGTTACGCTGAGATGTGCTGTAAAGGTTACCACGTCATCTTTCAACATTTTCTTGAAGTTTAAGTGCAAAATTTGTGTTCAGAAAGAGGTAATTCATAATTTTAAAAATCACATTTTGGCCACGTGACTTTCATTTTCATAAAAACGATGTCACATGACCACTTAGTGCAAATGGCCTATTTCTCCCAACAATATCAATTCGCCTCAAGATGGTCTTGGATTCTGGATTCCATGCCATGGATTCCGGATTCAAGATTACTGGATTCCGAATTCTGTCAGTGATACTTGGATTCCAGATTGGATTCTAGATTCCAATCGTTTGAGCTGTATTTCGGATTCCAAAGCCCAATTTCCCAGTTTCAGAACGGACCTCTGGAGCCAGGGTAGGTGAATCAATGCACAATCAAGAGAATAGGTTGCAAAAATAGATGAGGTGATCACAAAGCGGGAAATGCTTTTATCTTCGATCAAATTTTCTTAACTAAATCTTCAAGGAATTGTTTGGAGATCATAATAGAGAATTAGTCTGTGGATATTGGGGCTTACACGGTAAAAAAAAAAATACAAGATTGCCTTGATATTTCAACTCCAATTCAATACAAAATTATAGTACAGGAAGAAGCAGTTTGAGGTGTGCAACCACTGAATCGTTAACTTATTCAACGTTTTATTTTATTTATTTATACTGCTTCAGGCTCATAAATATAAAAGAAACTTGCGTAAAAAGTCTGCAGTGCTAAAAAAATGTTTTAAAAAGTTCGTGCGAGATAAAAACAGTGATAAAAATTATTATGACAAATATTTAAAGAAAATTGAACTATTATAGTGATACTTTGTGGTATTTTAAATATACAGCTATATAGATATTTTTCAATTTTTATTTCTTGGTCGTAACTTTAGCCTACCTGTTTCGGGAGGTATCAGATCAAACTTGAGCGAGCTCCGGTCAATACTGTTGGTATGAATGTTCAACACAGGGCTTCGGCAGACTAGAGGAAAACGAGTAAACGTCCAATGGATTCCCAAAATAACAAAGTGTCAAAGAAACTGGGAAATCGTTCGTTATGAGGGGGATCACGTTTCATCGGCATTTTCTTGTCCATTTTTCTATAACTACGAAGCAAAAGATGTCATTCATTGAGCTTAAGTGTCGAAGGAAATGAGATTGGAAATGAATTCAAACTTGAAAGTTTATGGCTGTACATACGAAGTTGATGCCCAATGTTTAGTCCTTTGACCTTCTAAAAAAGGGGCCCGGGCACCTAGTGTTCGAACCACCAGTGTCTGTCCAAGAGATAAAGTGCTTTTTGCTGTGAGGGTGCACGTGGTTACCAACAGGTAAACTTCTAGTCTGTTGATACCTATATTATGTCCTCTTAGATTGATGTCACTTCATTACTTACGAAACACTAATTATGCCGTTCAGCATAAAATTATTATATATTAAAATTCTACAATTTTACGGTATCTTCATTTATGACGGTTCTTTCGGTCTTATTTTTTCATAAAAGAACTGTTTTCCTGTTGCTTCAGGTAATCCTGACTTGGACGTCAATGCTCTCTTTTTGGCAGTTTGAAAAACCTTATTCGCAAATTCGTAGAATTCATTTTCCATTTTCCATATTTTAGACTGTTCGAAGTATTGTATTGTAGACTGCTCTAATGGTTTCTTTGAGGTTGTCTTCCTGAGATGTGACTTTCCACCTGTTATGAAAAACAAGTATAAAATATAATATAAGTAAGCATATCTTTTCGACCGCAGCAGAGTTAGTCCAGTTGGTGTAGAGCCTGTCTGCAGAGTGGGATTTCGCAGGTTCAAGAAAAAAAATCAAAGGGAGACTTTTGTCAACCCGTGGGTACGTTGTTTAGAAAATAATCAAATGGTTATCAACTCTGGTTTTCCCACAGTAAATTGTAGGAAATGATAGAAATTTAGATTGTCAAGAGCCATAATCCCCTATTATGGCTCTTGAGATTGTTTATGCATAAATATACTCATTGCTCCGGAAACACAATACTTTTCTTCCTGTTTCTTGCACTTTATTAAATAACAATTAGTTAGGTATATATTTATAGAAAAACAACAAAACAAAAAAGCAAACAAACCAAAAAAAGGAAAAAAAAAAAAGGTACTGAGCAGGAACTTCGGCTCGACGCGACTTCACCTTACCACTACGCAACTAAGGCTGATTGTGTACACTTGGCCAAATTGCCCTTTCCATGGAACTTCCGCCGGCAAACGCCGTTTAAAGATGATCGAGTCGTATAAACCGAGCTATTGACAACAAAAATGTACGCGCATTTCATGGCAATGAAAGAACATATGCCATACAAAGCAGATACAACTCGTCTGCGAAGTAGGACGCAAAACATATGTTTCTTTATCTCAATTTCCGTTGTTTCATATTTTGAAGCTAATGGACAAAATCACATCCATCTTCGGCTCATACAGGTTCTTAAGAAGACCTCTAACCGTACTGCAGAAAATTTGCCACAAAGAAAACTGTGAGCAGCGCACGATGCACGCTCTCAGCGAGGAATTTGATCCCTTCGAACTTCGGCGAGGGCGTGCTTCTTCGGAAACGACAGATCTTCGCACTCTCGAGTTCGGACCCGATTAATTATGAAGTCCGTCTTCTACGAATGAGCGAGTGACTCATTTGTATATCCCTGTCCCTGCAATAACTCGTAATACGCTCGCGCGTACCCACGAGTTAAAAAAGGAAGAGAATTTTGTAGCCTAGCACTGAGGCAAAGGGTTTTTGTTTGGGCACTTATTAGAAAAAAATCACTAGCTGTCAGGAAAAGGTTAAATGTCACAAGAATACTCGCACAGAAGTTATTAACCCAAATTACCTTCATTGAATAATTTTGTGGCTCCTTTAAAGATTCTTGGAATAGTTGCTTCCAAAATGGCGACAAAATCACCAATTTCCTCAGTGGTTCCTACTAGGAGGTATTTTTCCACAAGATTTCTTTTTGCTTGGTCTAATGCCCATTTGTTTCCTGGAGACCTGAAAAAAGAATGAAAACAATTCACTGACTAAATCCCAGCTTACAAGCTGTGACCTTGCAGAGCTTTGACAAAGTATATATACCTGGATTTTTGAAAACCGGGTTAGCAAAAATATCCACTAATTCTACTAGTTGGCAATTTAAAACAAGAAAACTCGTTCAAAGGCCGATTAAAAACCTTTATCTGACGCCGGGCAGGAAGTTAATGGTCCCCAGAAGCATTCCAACGAGTCCAAATTTAAAATGACGCAAATTTTTGAACATTTATTCAGTAATCTGACTTCGCGAAGTTTCAAACCGGTGTCATTTCAGTCTAGAAAATTTTAAGTTGAGTGAACTGCAGCGAAAGAGTGCCTGGTTAAGGCTTACATAACAACTTAAATAGCTAGCAAAACACTACTTTTTTCGCGGTCCGATAAACAACAGGATTCCGCATGGACTAGACAACAAACTGAATGAAACACAGTGCACAAATTATGACCTTCTTATCTGCCAAAATCGACCTATGGTTCAATGCTAATAGGACTCGCTGAAAATCCAATTTTCCTAAGTCGAGAATTGCTTTTACATGGTACAATCAGCTAAGCTAAACACCGACGAAACAGTATTAATGGCTGGCACAGAATATTTTGGCCAAACCGCAGTTCAACCACGCGATCACATACCTGTCAACACCATGCGGAAATCACACAATCACACACTTTCGCGGCACTGATAAGACTATCCACAACCACGCATAATCTTCTCACGTTCAACATAAGCGAAATATCATCGAATAACTCGGAAAAACTCAGCCTACTGGCAAATAAACACCTCTGGACTTTTCTCTAACACTCGTCTTATTCAAGCTCCCGGATGTAGAGTCACACGGTCGGCGGATCACCTTAGCCTTGTTTTCACACCAGAAAAAAAGTCTTGGCCTGGGTCAAAGTTCACTGGCAATTTTGCTCTCACCTAATTTATTTGACTCCTAAGAGCCTGTTCCCGAGGCCAAAGACTTAGCGGTCACCTTAGAAAAGCGAACAATATCGTACCTTTCTGTCTCAGCCCGGATCAGTGTGATTGATCCGTTTAGCCAAATGAAACGAGAATATAATATGATATTGGACGATGCAGACTCTGCGAATCGTAATAACTTTGTCCCATCTCAGAGCTTTACATGATGCTCTCCGGGAAACTTTTCTTAAGGTGACCAATATATAAAACAAAACTGCTAAACGGCACCCAAACCAGCTTGAGGCGCGCGCTGATTTCAAATAACTGTCACTTATGTGAAAGAAAGAACTGTGGGTAGGGAAAAAAAATCAGGAGGGGAGGGGGGGGAGATAGTAATTCTGTCTACATCCACTTCAAAACAAATCCCTAACCACAAAACAAGCAACAACAAAAAACAAAACACATAAGCAAGCAACACGGTGAACATATGTCAAGCTATTAGACAGGGCAAGTTGAGAAAAATTATAACATGTTTGCTGACCCGGTTTTCATAACTCCAGGTAGATATACTTATGACTTATTAAATGAATATTGACCGGAAAACCCGTCAGGGATGCGTGACACTTGACACTTTTCACTGACTTTTTGATATTTTAATTGAATATTATCTTATCAGCTATCATATACTAACTTACTCCGACGTGTCCGAAATAGCACGCAACGCGTAAGCAGTTTTACGGCAAACTACCACCATTCTCCCAAAAGCTGACAAAGTGCCGTATTCAATTTGCCGGTCATTGCTAACGAGCAAAGGGTGAGATCACTCAATCCCTTCTTCTTTGGAAAACAAGTGGCCTGTTCACTCACGGAAAATGACATTTCAAGATATGATCTCATGGTGATGATAATGATGATGATGATGATGATGATGATGATGATGATGGTAATGATGATGATGATGATAACTGGTACTCTAGTTATGTGTTTATAGGATCTTTACCAACATCAGGGCTTTACACTGTAAAGAAGTTTTTATCAAATGAAGTTCAACTGTAGGTTCTGATTCACAGTAACACAACAAACTCACCAGCACTGAGGTGCATGACCACAAAAGAATGGAATTTGAAGCCACAGTTTCTCAGGTTTGCAATCTGGGTGGCCTCGTTCTACACACTCATCAAAAGTCTGAAAAAATAATATTGATCACTCAATTGTTTTCATGATAACTCCTAAAACATCATTGTTCTTCTTTTAACCACCACATCCCCCATCCAGCTTTCTATTTTGTGTCACAGAAAAACGAATACCCTCTTCGCAGCGCTCCTTTAACCTGATATTAGACCAAATTTCAAGATGAATCTCAGGGATTAATACTTGTAGAATTCCTACATATACTTTGTCTTTAACACAGCAATGTAAGTTTTGACAAAGAAGGAATACTTAAAAGGACCCCAAAAATTCCCTATATGACCACTTCCAATAAACACTGCTTCAAATTGTCTTCTGTTGGCTTGAAAAGGAATGTATGTTGGATCAAGAGTCTTTTAGAGCCTAGTATCCACACACTCTTTTGCTTAAAACCCTTAGGGCCTGTTTACAGGGAGGTTGGGGACCCCAGGCAGGAGAGGCAGCCAGCTTAGGTAGGGTAACCCACCTGGCCATATAATCTCTTATTTTGATTTGATCACCTTTACATGATAAGTGGGGTGACCATATGAGAGATTGTATGGAAAGGTGGGTTACCCCACCTAAGCGGGTTATCTCAACTACCTTGGGTCCCCCACCTCCATGTAAACAGGCCCTTAATCTGCTCTTATCAAGACTCACTATGTTAGGTCTAGATTTTTTTCCATGTTAAAGTAAAATATTGGAGAAAACAGGGAGGGGAAGCGAAAGAGACCTGTACCTACTGAGCGTAAATATCAGAGAATGTTTTTAACTTTAAGGCCTGGTTCAGATGCATAACTTTTCATGAGCCAAACTTAATATATTGAGTCATGTACATGAAAATTTGGGTGTCTGAATCAATTTGGAATGCCTTCACGTATTTCATTTTGGAATTTGGAATGCCTTCACGTATTTTAGTTTGGAACGGCTCAGCCATTGATTCAAACGCCAAACTTTTCATGTGCTGAACCTTGTGCGTATATTATTATAACATATTTTGCAAGCAAATTGAATGAAATGAGCATCTTTAGATCCCTTTGAATTTAGTTCAGCTGGAACTAAGATCGGTGTCTGAATCAATTCAGCCGGTCTAAATAAAATAGGTTGGCCCAAATTCAAATAATATTATTAGGTCAGCTCATGAAAAGATCAGTGTCTGAATGGGGCCTAAGATGTATGGTAACTGTTAAACATAAAGTTCACTTATTAAGATGGTAACAATAAATTTTACTATTTAGTATGATCAACAAAGGTCTTTTATTACCTCTTTGTCTCCTTGCTTCATCCTTCGAAGATATGGTCTAAAAGTATCACCAAATCTCAAGAAATAATAGTATGACACAAGTCTGTCAAGAGGTCTTCTCACAATGTTTATATACAATGGTCTCTTATACACACCAAGTCTCTCAAACTCAACGTAGGCAAGATGACCATGATAAACTGCCGGCATCTTCTCCTTCCATGTAGTAATATTTCTTGCAAACCGCATTTGGTCAGGAAGAGAGATAACGTGAGCATTTCGACTCACATTTAAGTGAAGAGCATAGAATTTATTTTTGGAGCAAAGATCATACACAACTCCCATGAAAGAGGTACTTCCAGTCTTCGGAACTCTGTTGTAGAATATCACAAGGTCATCACCTTTACTTCCACTGTTCAAGATTGTATCCCTCCTTAAAGGAAGCTGAGGGTAATAGAAAATACAGATTAAAAAGGTGATTATATGCACAAGTTAAACTGGAGTATTTTTATTCAAGATTAATGATTGCTATAGTTGTCTGTTCTTGTCATATTTTTTTCCATCTTGAGCAACATGATCGAAAACTTGACACAAACATTTAACTTTCAAAATAAAATTTTCAAGTTTCAAGAATTACATTTAGGATCATGTCAAGGTTTAACTTCCTGAGTGACTTCCAACCTTAATCTTTCTATTTATTTGTTATTTATTTAGTTACTTACTTATTTATTTATTCATTTATTAATTATTGGCTCACT